CACGATAAAATTGATAGCAGTTTCTTAAAACACAATTTCTCAATTAAATTACACCACTTTTTCACAGTAGAATTTCATAAAGTTGAAACTTCCTGCATGATAATGGAGCAATGCATGATCCAACAAATCGAGGAATTGTAACAGTGACAGACACTGTTCATCAGTGCCGCATTAACCACTGTGTCACCCCGGTGTAACTTTCATAGTCACAGGGCCGGAACAAATTTAATGTCGCCCTATACTTAATTTGAAATAATGAAATTCAAATCGCAGTAATATCTCATTTAATAAAATTAAATGATGATATATTAATTAATAATTGCCGGAAGTTAAAAAGGAATGAATTGACTTAAAAGAATATATATATTTAATAAAATATAGGAATAGAAATAAGTTATAAAAGAAATAATATTAAGAAAACAATTGTTATTTATTGTCAATTTTATTGATAAATTACGATGATGAAAATTATAATTAAATTGATGATGATTAATAATAATTAATAATAATTAAAGGTAATTAACGTAAATTGGTAAAATTAAGAATGTTTAGTCGCTCGGGTATCTTTCGAGAATAAAACACAAAAATTATTTATTTAAAAACAAGAATAGAAATATTTATTATAAAATTTAATTTGCTCTCCGAGCGTGGTTGTGCTCAGGACGAGAATTAGGTAAAGACTAAATGAAAAAATGGCGACAGGGTTTTCAAAGCGTCGTTTGGGAAAAGAGAAAAACGATAAAATTAAGGAAAATTATTGTAGTTGAACGAGGATGGAGAAGGTGTAAAAAGAGAGGGTAAGAAGTGTATACAGAGTATATTGCCGTGCTACTTGAACGGACCGATTTTATGATAGGGTCGGCCGTAAGTACCTAGGAAAGGATGGCATGATCGTCAGGCCAGCAAGAGAGCTCACTTTAAGAAGTACAAAAATTTAAATATTGAAAATATACATTAAATATTCTGAGCACAACCATATTGCAAATACATAGAATTACAAGTATTAATGAAAATGTAGTATTAATACATATTGTTTGTGTGTGTGTATTTGTGTACATGTTTGTGCATTTTTAGATTAGTGTATATATGGGTGATTCTTCACGTAGCGCACGATTAGGTGTCTGAAACTTTAAAAATAGTTTTTTATCGAAATGGTAAATATCAATACATATTTTTGAAGATAAAGTGTCAAGAAATAAATATCCATGGTGGTCCGGAAAAATTTTTTATAATTTTTTTATTTTTTTAAACAAATTAAAAAAAAATTCATTGATTGTTGAATTCTATATAAAATTGTTGAAATTTGATTTAAAATGTTTATGGGAATTTTTGGGGTAATTCACAAAAATATATAGTATAGCGCGAAAGACAATTAAAAATTTTATTTCAGTAATTTATGGATATTTATGCGGTAATTTATGGAAATTTATATGGTAATTTATAGAAATTTTGGCTATAATTCATAAAAATATGTAAAGCATAAATCGCAATTAAAAATTTTAATTTCGGTAATTTATGGAAATTTTCTCAGTAATTTACAAAAATATATATTATAGCGCGAACGACAATTAAAAATTTTATTTTGGTAATTTATGCGGTAATTTATGGAAATTTATAGAAATTTATTTGGTAAGTTATAGTAAACTTACCGGAGCTATGATAGTTTATAATAAATATTTTTAATTTTGTTTGTTTCATTGTGTATTAAACTTGGACTAGTGACGGTCGAAATTTTGTGGCGGGTGAAGACGCTGGGGTCGGTCGAACCGGAATATAGATATTTGAATGCAATAAACAAAATAATATATAATGATATTAAAACTCATAACAGTTTACTTAATAACAAACATAGTATAAAATTTATTTAATAAAATATATGTCTTATTTGAACCTAAAATATAAAGTCGGCACATTTGGCAAGAAAGAGAAAATATGTATTACTATATTTGAATTGAAAAGATCTCAGGCCTGCGCATGGTCAACATGTTGTTACGAGCCGAGTTACCTTTTATTACGCAACTCTAAAATTGGAATATGATTGGCTGGATTCTCTTTAGTTAAATCCTTTAAGAAGGAAGCGGGAAGGTTTAAATAAAAGATTATTAATTTCCGATACAACGGAAGGGAAACCCGTTCAAAGGAAGAATAATTATTAGTTCTTCCTTCGAAGGTAAAACCCTGTAAATTTATTAATATGATAGAATACAAGCTGACTAAGGAGTTTAGAAAACAACCTTTCAAGTCAGAGTCAAGATTAGAACTAACTTAGAGAGTTTTTGGTCCAGCGGAGTCGCTCTCCGCTTTTGGGTCCATTTTGAGTTTGTGCGCATGCTTCACTATGGAGCGTATAAGGTTATTCAAGTTGGGTGGGGGAAAGCCAAGATGGTTGCTTGCTGGTGCACCTATCAGCCTATCAGCATTCATTCCCACGAGAAATTTCTCGTGGGAATGAATGCTGATAGGCTGATAGGTGCACCAGCAAGCAACCATCTTGGCTTTCCCCCACCCAACTTGAATAACCTTATTCGCTACTCCTATACGTGTATCACTTCACTAACACTTATCACATCGTTCTTAAGTGTTACTTATACGTTCACACATACATAAGAGAGATTATACATATTCTCTCCCATCATACAACATACTATTTATTAAAATATAATAAACATTAATCATCACAACATTACATGGTTAATCCATAATTATATTATTATAATATAATTATAATAATATTAAATTATAATATTCTGATAATCAATTATTAATTAATTAACAATATTAATAACGCTTACATACAAATGTGTAAATATACTAAAACATGTGCATAAACAATTATTTAATTATTTATTGCTTTCTTATACAAAGCATTTCTGTTGTAGACTTCGTCTATTGTTTAGCCTGTACGCGACTTTTCTATTGAAGGTAGTAAAAGTCCGTGTCTGGTCAACATGTGTTTAGTGTCCCTTTTTTTTATAGAAAGGATCACATTTTTTCAAGTGGTTTTTATGACGTTCTAGGATTACATTTTAGAATTGAAATAAGAGGAAATATGTGAATATATTTTCTCTTATTTATTTGTACTGATTTACGACATTTCTCTTTTAATCTTTTATGTTGCTAAAAGAAATACGATATTGAAATAAACTTAAAAGTTCAACAGAAATATTTTAGAATTAGTCATGCTATTTCTTTTATGTGAAAAACTCTATTTTATTTATTATGAGAAAATGTTAAGAGTAATATAAAATGTTTTATAATTACACTTATTTAAGGTTATTTAAATCGTAACTTTAATCATATCGTATCGTTCATTCGATACCTCGAAATGATTCGAGCGAGAATATAGTCGCTCGTTACAATGTGTTTGCAATTCTCGAGGGCTGCGTTTACTTTTCTATTATACATTTTTTTTATTAGTTTTCTAACTTTCCAAAGGATAGTAGTTTGCGTCTCTTAACTCAACGTCCTTTTTTTTGTTGACGAATCACAGGCCTTTTTTTTTCCGTGTAGAATTTAACTCGAGAAATCTTAAGGAAAATTTATGGCTTTTACTCTTATTACAATACAGTTTTAAGTTGAGATCGACATTTTTTCACGATGAAACGTCGAGAAATTCTATCTAGAAAATATAAAAATGTTTAGGTTTTAAATTTCTCGAGTTTTAAATGTGACAACAAATAATCTTTGTTAGTCCGAAGGTTTCTTATTTATATTTTACGATTCCGCTGACGCATAGACATATGAGACTCGAGTGATTTTCAGTTGGTTTTTAAAGGGCCTATTCTGCCGTGTTTTCTAAAAACTTAGGTAACTGCAAAAAAATCGAAAAATGAGTTTTTTATATCGTTGGAATCGTGGAAAAAAGATACACCTGTTAATGCAAATTATTTTTAAAAATTGTTAATATTATTAATAATAATTTTTGCATAAATAATTGAAAATACCGGTAACTGCAAAAATTGATGAGTGATAATTTGAGAAACTTAGGTAACTGCTATAAAAACTTGGGTGTCTTTGGGTGTTGTGACGTATTTTGTAGGTCGTGATTTGAAGAACTTAGGTAACTGCACCAGTGCCTAAGTTTCTCAAAACACGGACCTCATTTTTCGAGCCCTCGTCGCATGGAAAACTTAGGTAACTACAGAGTGCTATCAGAGCACTGTAGTTACCTAAGTTTTCTATGCGACGAGGCCTCGAAAAAGGAGGTCCGTGTTTTGAAGGACCAAGTAACTGCAAAATCTTATACATTTCTTTAAAATTACAATGTTTTTTGTGCAATTAATAATTTATAATGACAATAAATAATGAAATAAAAAACTCCAATACTATATATATATATATATATATATATATATATATATATATATATATATATATATAATTATACCTAAATAATAATTTATCAATTATTGAAAAATTAAGTATTAATTTTAATAAATAACATAAAAGCATTAATAAATTAAGAAAATGAAGTTCAGTAATATGTTTATTTCATGATTAATATATAATTAATTTAGTTCAATTATTTAAAAAATTAAAATCGTTTTTAATTATTTAAATAAACGTTAATAAAGCAGCGAACTACATTACCTACAATAATTTGACTTTAATATTGTATAATTAAAATAAATTCAATCATATAGTTTAATATTTGTAAAAAACAATAATTATAATGATAACTTTCGCATCTTATTAAATAATTACACTTTATTATTTATTATTTTTTTTTATTTATTTTTATTTTATTTCATATAATTATTTAATATATTTTTACTATTTTTTAATTTAATTTAATTTATTTTTTTTAATTTTATTTATGTATTTTATTTTATTTTATATTATTATTTAATATATTCTGAGTTAATACAATATTTGACTCTAATATTGTATAATTAAAATAAATTTAACCATAAAATTAAATATTTGTAAAAAACAATAATTATAGTGACAACTTTCGCAGCTTATTAAATAATTATAGTTTATTATTTAATATCTTTTTACTATTTTTTGCCCAGAAAGATGAAAATTCTTATATATTCCCTGCAGTTACCTAAGTTTTCTGTGCGACGAGAGGCCTAATACGGGCGCTCGTAGCACGAGGGACCAAGTAACTACCAGTTACCTAAGTTTCTCGTGCGACGACCCTCGAATCAGCATACCGGTAACTACATTTTTAATAATTTATTGAATGTTTAAACAAATACAACATTTATTTTTACATAATTAAAAAGAATAAATTTATACGAATCGAAGGAACAAAACGGCATTTAAAAATTTTAATTAGGCTTTGCGGTATATATCAATGAAGTTTAAACAGTTTTTCGCGTTTTTCTCGAAATCTTTCATTCTGCAGTTACCTAAGTTTTTAGAAAACACGGCAGTATTGCTATCTCTCTTCTCGTTAGAGAGAGACGAACTCACGCATTCCGTGTCTCACTTTTCGTCAGTGATGGGTTGTGACGCGTCACACGAAGTTTTGTACGTATAATACGTTTTCGACGTAATATACGTATAAAATGTATAAAACCATGTAGAAAACCACTGACATTTTGACATCTAATGATCCTCTGATTTTTGCCATAACGAATTTTTCTTATCATTTTTTTAAGAGCTTTCTTATTGTTTATAAAGTTTTGATTTAAAAATTGTTTATTTTGGGAGATACCAAACGACTAGACTGACAATATAATACTTAGAATATAGGTTATGTTATTATGCACGTGGCCCGGTGATCACTCTTATCTGTGAAACCAACTTAGAAATAAAACCGATATAAAAACATTTCAATAATTAAAAATTTTGTTTTATAATTATTAAAATAATTAATAATTACCTAAATTTTGTTTATATTAACAACTTTCTCTTTCAATAGTGTAAAGTAATGAATGATGTATTTTAATGAAGAATTTAAAATTGCCGCACTTAAATCAAGTGATCAAATGTAATATATACATCGTGTAGAAAACTTGGCACGTAATATACGTAGTATTATACACGTAGAAAACCACGTATTATACGTACCCATCACTGCTTTTCGTGCAAGAGAAAAGTATCTCAGTTTACAGGAATCGTCATTATCGTGCTGCGATCCCCACAACTCCCTGCATGATTCTGCCATCTGGCGGTGTCTGGACTCTGAACGAAATGAACTTCCTACAAACTGTCATTAATATTACCAGATATTATTTTCTTATTTAATTAATTGGTATTTTATGTTTAGTTGAAATATTTTCAAATCAATATTAATTTCACTAAATTTTACTTTAAGGTTGGAAATTATCCCCTTTAAGTAAAGGTATTTTCATCTACAATTTTTATGTAGAAGACTTCTTCTTGAATTATTGTGTGTCAGTTCATCCAGATATTTCGAGTTTGAGTATGACGTCAGATATCTGGAGGGAAAACAAACAGACGACACAATATGTTATTCTTATGGTGAAAAAAATTTGTTTCCACTTTTATCAATTTTACTCATATTTTAAACATGGAAAACGGTTGTTGACATATTATAAAAATAAAATGTGTGTTGATAATTAACTTTCTTATATATTTGATTCAATTGCATTGGTAGATTCTCTGAATTCGTGATAAAATATAAATTTTGAGGTTAGGAGTGTTTGTTTACTAAGCTTATTTTACATTTTAACAGCATTATTAAACAATATCTAGTGCGCATATTAAAAAAAATATATTTTAAGTGGAAATTATCACAGCAGTAAAAGATTTCAAGATATTAAACAAACATCCCTAACCTAAAAAGTTATATTTAATTACAAATTCAGAGATTCAACCAATGCAATTGGATCAAATACATTGCATATTTAATTAGCAAAACACTATTTATTTTTACTCTAACGTCACAAGTGGCACAGCCTAATTGGACAATAATTTTCACTTGTTCTTTTCTTGTGAACTGATCTTAAATCTTTCATGGTTTTCCTCGACCTTTGACTCAGTTTTCATATGGTCCGGTATGGTCTAGTGGTTAGGATACCTGGCTCTCACCCAGGAGGCTCGGGTTCGATTCCCGGTACCGGAAATTTTTTTGTAATTTTTAATGAAAAAAATTATATTTAATTTTTTATAATTAAAAATATTTTTAAATTTAAAAATTGTGAGTTTTTCAATAATATTTGATATTTTCTGTAAAATATTTAATTTTTTTTTTACAAAATTTATTTTTAAACAATTTTTGTAAATAAATATTAATATCTGTTTATGGTATGAATATTTATATCCAGTTCTTTATGGACTGTGGGAAAAATGTCTAAATAAAAATTGTGTCATTTTTAAATTTATTATTTTTATTTTATATATTTATAAATTTATAACTAATTTAAATATTTATTTTATTAATGGTTTTAAATAATATCTTTTTATTTGATTTCTTTTTTACTCGTAATGAGAATCATGTATTTGTAAATAAAAATAATAGAACCCATATATTTATATAAATTGCTGGCCAGAATGGAGAATTAAAAACTATTCGTTTTATTAATGAAATGAAAATAAGATTTTGATATCTTCATATATTGATTTCTATAAATTTAATTGGTTTTTCGTATATGTATCGGTATTAATTTCTTTGGCATATATGAAAAATTGCACGCCCTATGGATGTAATCATTATCGATAATTAGAGCGCGAACTCAGACAAATGGCTGATCAACTTTTATGTTGATGAAAATTGGAGCACGTGAAAATGTCCGAGCAAAAGTAAAACCAAGAAAGCATTAATTATACTTATATATATATTTTTGATATTGACATCTGTACTTATTAATATTGTAAATTGATTAATATTTACTATAAATAATTTCTAGATTACTAATATTGTTTCAAATTATCAAATGAAAAATATAAAAAATAGAATACGAAAAAAATGTTAAATTAAAGAAGAAGTAAATTTCAAATCATTCTACACATTCATTCACATAATTCAACAAAAATGACGAAAAGCGTTTGTTAATCTAAAATTGAATTTTTAATTTTGATATTAATTTTATTAAGAGCATTTGAACCTTCGTGACGTCACAAATCATGGCGCATGACACGCAAACTTCTCAGGTATGTGAAAAGCACAATTTTGAATATTTTTTAAAAAAACCTTTTGGAAAATGTTCAGAGAAACATAGCCTATGTCTGTTATGTGCGAAAAATTCAAAATTTTGCGTTTAAAACGTTTTTTAAACAATGCCTACATATAAGCAATTCGTGTATTTTTCCTTACTTGTGACAACCAACTTAAACATTGTTTAAAAAACGTTTTATACGCAAAATTTTGAATTTTTCGCACATAACAGACATAGTCTATGTTTCTCTGAACATTTTCCAAAAGGTTTTTTTAAAAAATATTCAAAATTGTGTTTTTCACATACCTGAGAAGTTTGCGTGTCATGCGCCATGATTTGTGACCTTAACATTGTTTAAAAAACGTTTTAAACGCAAAATTTTGAATTTTCCGCATATAACAGACAGAGTCTATGTTATTCTGAACATTTTCCAAAAGGTTTTTTTAAAAAATATTCAAAATTGTGCTTTTCACATACCTGAGAAGTTTGCGTGTCATGCGCCATGATTTGTGACGTCACGAAGGTTCAAATGCTCTTAAATAAAATTATATTAAAATATTGTGTTAGAAAATTAAATTTAAAAAATGAAATAAATATTCACTTAAACTAAATAATTTTTGTATTTGAAACAAAACATACTATTATACATTGATTCAAGTAATATAATTATTTATAATGCAAATAAATATTTATTTGATAATAGTGATGTAACCGATTATTTGAATCAAATAAGATTTTTTTTTTCGATGTTGTTTTGAAAGTCATAATAAACATAAACAAAAAAGCTTCTAAGAAGCATAAGATGTCGTTTCTGTAGAACACATCCGGTTTTTACAACTTCATTGTTAGAAGAAAAAACATGTTGTTGTTTTACTATAGGACGTTTACTGCGCCGCACTCTTAAGATTATGCATTTCTTGCCACAAAAAGTTCTTTGGACATATAGAAGCAACCTGCCGTTCGTCTGTCAAAGAAGAAAGCGAAGAAACAGACAAGTCTAATCATTCATGAATGAGCGATCGGAATCATTTGAACTCAACTGACCTTGCTGCAGTCAAGTCTGCAAATTACTTTGTCACAAAATAAACATAAAAAAAAATCTCACTAAACATATTAACTGAAATCGACAGAGTAAATAATATATATATATATATATATATATATATATACAAAGGTTATTTTAATGAAATCCATATGACACTCCACGGTGAAAGGGTACGTGCTTAGCTGTTTTTTTGACAGAACTAAACTTTGCAGTAAAAATAAATAAAAGCGACTAGTTTTCGGTACAAATTATTATTATTTAATCATTTATTAGATGCAATATTTTCAGTAAAAAATGCTTTTGATGTTAATTAATCAAAAATAAATCTGTAATAAAGCAAAAACTACCATGAACATAACCTAAAATTTTAAGCAGTTAAACACCTTTAACCGCGTGGAGCGTCACATATACATGATAACGATATTACATCGGTGAAGTTCACAACGTTATCGATCAACGAATGAAAAAAAAATAATCTTCATCCCGAAAGTAATCAATTTTTTTGCCCTCAAATTAAAAAAAAATTAAAACTAAAATCCTAATACACTTAGGTTCCAAAATTTCATTTAAGCGAGATATTAAAAAAATTCAACTTCATCCCATACATTTCTTAAGGTGCTTTTATACCTCCAGTATTTTGGTCAAGCAATCGGCTGGATTGAATTTTCACGGAGAATCAATGAATTTGGCTCTAAAAATATTCCATTTTCATGGTGGAATATTAATCAGAGCCTATCAAATTCAGTGATACAGCCGTAAAAATTCAATCCAGCCTATTGCTTGACCAAAATACTGGAGGTATAAAAGCACCTTTATGATTGTTTGTGCATCGCTTCATCGCTATTTTGAATTTCCCCTACCCAACTTGAACAATCTAATTTTCAGTGTGCTTCAGATTGAAACACTGGTCGCCATATTGTTTATTCCCTATTGAATACTCCTGTCATTGTTTGCACGTTCGTGGGATTTGCAAATTAGGGTACGGTCACACGACTTTTGGAAAAACCATTCTTGTCTTTCTCTCTCCTATTACAGACGCATAAGTTTGTCTCACTCTGCATTTTCCATCTTTGGGAAATGTAAGAAAATGCAGAGTGAGACAATCTTATGCCTCTGTCTTAGGAGAGAGAAAGACAAGAATGGTTTTTCGAAAAGTCGTATGATCGTACCTTTAGTGTTGGTTGCAGTTTTCATGTGTTTGACAAGTAATTTGGATATTTTTTTCGAAATTTTTTATTAATAATAATATCATTGAAATTAACATTATTAAGTGAAAAATGTTTTAGTATGTGCGTGTTATAGGAAAAAAGATGCAAAAGGTGTTTCTTTTCACAAGTAGAGTATACACTGTAAAAAAAAATTTTGTCTTATTTTACGGATTGAACTTGTAATTTTACCAAAATCTGTAACTGAACTTATTTCAAAGCAGTAAATATACAATAACTGATTTAAACTTTATACTTTTAAAGTAGCACATTCGTAATTTTCTGTAAATTTACTACTTTCAGAGTAGTACCAAATATTACCTACTTTCAATGTGACAGAATTACTACCGTATTTGTAATTTTACAGTTTTTTGTAAAAATGCGAACATAACCTAGCCAATTTGCCACCATTTAATTAAGTAAAATCACTGCTTTAAAAGAAGGTAATATTGGTTACTACTCTGAAAGTAGCAAATTTACAGGAAATTTTTTTTACAGTGTACATAATATTTAATATTATTATTGAAGTGTCTAATTTTTAGGTTATGTTTTGTTTGTTTTTTTACATTTTAACATTATAATATTGACATAAAAAGAAAAAATATATAAATTGATGCATATACTTATATTTTGTAATATTCTTCATATCATATGTATATTTACAAATTAGAAAATTTGACTTTAATATTCCTTTAATCTCAGGAACCAGTAATAAACAATTTTTAATTAATAAATTAAACAAAATTTAATTGTAGTATATAGTATTGATATTTGAGGAATTAAATTAAATTATTAGTTAATTATTTAATTATAATTATTAATTAATTAGAAAAATTAAATAAATTTAATACATTTAATTATTTCGTTAAAATATTAAATATGTAACTAATTACTTTATTAATTTAATATATAAATAACTATGTTTTTTTAATATCAATAATAATATCAATTACATTAAAATATTTAAAAATTAAAATTATTGACAATTAATTATTTTGATTTGTTATTCAATATATTTCAATCCTATTAAGTTATTTTAATTCTCTCTCCACTTATGAAAAAACGGAAATAAACAATATGCGGCACTTTCGGTCTTCTAATCGAATTATGGCGATACAATCGCCCATCCATGTTATATAATTAAAGAGATCAGTGGGCAACACTGTATGTAATAAATATAATTTTTCAATATGTACATAAAAAAAAAAAAACTACATACTTTTGTGATATGAAAATTAAATTGACATTAAAAAATGAATAAAAAGACGAATAATGAATAAAAAATTGAATAAACATTTGTGATAATGAGCAATACAAAGATATATATGATATATGTAATCGTGTTGTGAGACTAAATATTTTTTCAAATGTGAAAATTATATAATATCATTTATTTATATTAGCAAATCCCATTTGCTGAAAGATATAACCGGCAATGTAAAACGGTGTGATTTCGTTATTATCAAGATCTTGGAGACCAGATCGAGTTATTAACTACTGCGGTTTCCGCATTAAGATTGCAATTATACTGGTAGAATGTATATTACTCTTTCTAGATTTTTACGCTCAAGATTTTAAATACTCCACTTAACAATTACATTAAAAAAAAATATTATACTTCTATATATATATATATATATATGTGTGTGTGAAGAGTAATATAACATGTTAGTTCTTCATAAGATTATATTTAACTTATAAAAAATAATATATAAGACTTAAAAGTTTTGTAAAATGAAGTAGTTTATTTAAAAATTTAAAAAAATAAAGGATACAAAAAACAGTTTGAAAAATAAGTTTTTAATTCTTAAATTTGCAAAAAATCTAGTAAATTGTTTTTCTTGTTTTTTTATTACATCAAATATTCAAAAAGTTTTAATCGAAAAAAAAGAAATTTAAAAAAAGACTTATTTACAATTGAATGCATTTTTAAAGAAAATTATGAACTTAAAAAAAATTTTTTTTAATATCAAATTTTGAATTTATAACTAGTAATCGGCTAAATAAAAAAATTTGAAAAAAACCATAAAACTGTTTTTTGTATCTAGAGTATTATAGCTACTTCATTTATAATAATCCCTTCAATATTTTTTTTTCAGGTTGTAAACATTTTGAGGAAGGACTACTGTATCTATGAAATGGGATATCTACTGTATCATATCTGTAATTATGTGAGTACTTATTGATATATGATTTATTTGTTATTATTAATTAATTTAGAATACATTAAATAAGCAAGGAGCAAATTTTCAAAAGTAGATAAATCAATTTTTTAAAAAAGTGAATATAAAATATGCAAATTTAATGACGCTGGAGTTACCAACGTTGATTCAACGAATCAACGAACGAATTTTTTGTTTTCAGATTAGTTTAAAGACCAAGAACCAATATTTTATAATTGAAACTTCTTTATTTTGGTCCCAAATACATCCTTAAACAATAAAAATCCACAACCAAGAAAGGAAAATATTCAATCTTATGAAAAAAATTCTTCTCGTTGATTCAACGTTGGTAACTTCAATGTCATCAGATTTATCATATTAATTAAAGACCTTACTAATCGATCTGTCACTATGATGAATTAAAAATATTATTTACGTATATTACGTATGTTTATTATGTCCCAAAAAAATGAAAACAATACATTTTTTAATGGTGCGGGCGCGAATGTATTTTGTGCCCGCATCTATGACGTCAGAGGGCGGGAATGTACTTTGCGTCCGCTTACCCTATCTCTGGGCGGGAATTATACTTACTTTGCGACCGCCTCAAGTGCACGAAATTACACACTTTCCATGCAGGTAGGACAAAATAGTTATTTTCGTATCAAGGGCGCAAAATCGCCTAGGTTTTCTAAATCTCGTCTAAGCCACAATCACCTTTTGCGCCCTTGATACGAACGTAACTTTTTGTCCTGCCTGGACGAAAAGTATGTCGTTTGAGGGCACGACTGTTCTGAAAAGTACAGATAAAAATACAAGAAAAAAATTATTATACATAGCTCTGTATTTTAAGAAAATAGTTTTATTGCAGTTATAGAAACAGTAATTCAAGTATTTAGAAGAATTGTTTATAATTCAATATAATTTAATCGTTAATGACTTTTGAGATCGAAAAAAAATTATCTATACCGCTTTCAGTTTTATATCCCCTCTGATATAAATTAAATTACTAGACAAAAAGTATAAGTTGCATAAGTATGTGTGTGTATGTATGTGTGTGAATATAATACTGTAATATATTATAAACATTAAAATTCCATTAGGCCTTCTTGACCAAAAGAAGCGGGCGTAAAAGTACTTTTACGCCCGCTTGCCTAACCCCGAGCGACAATGAGATACTTTGGGCCCGCTTTAAGTGCCCGAAATGACATACTTTTCGGGCGGGTAGGACAAAAAAAATTTATTAACAAAGGAATTTAAATTTAAATACATATAGGCTTAACCAAGATGATTTAGATTGAAAATTTATAATATTAAACAATTAATGTTTACACAAAAATTGACTTCAAAATCAAAAAGAAATAGGCACATTAAAACAAAATTTGCCGTTTTAATTAGAATGTATTTAGAATGAAGTTGTGCGGTTAAAACTAAATAGTTGTGGTTTTAAAAGCTATTTCGGAATTTTTGCGCAGAAACAAGTTTAAATAAAGTATTGACAGTATGTCATTATGGAGAGATAATGTTCCAAAAAAGGGCATATATAATGTGATAAACTTTGATTATATGAATTCCCTTTAAAAAAAGAATATAATCTGCGTACAATGAGTTTGCAAAATATGAATAACATCGCGAGATATCATGAAACTCATGGACTTTGCTATATCTGATTGCCAAGTACTGAGGTGTCGCTCAGATGGTTGCTTTACCACATGTTACCTAACTGTTGCTCTCTCGTTCGGAACCTTTTTCATTCTCATCTTAGAAAATCATATTGGTCCTTCAAAAAAAAAATCTCTTTCTTAGTTTCTGTAATCATTTTAATGATGGTTCATTAATTATATTATTACTAAGTATTATTATTTATAGTTGTAAATAAATTTTATTATTATCAATATTATTATCATTATTATTATAGTGAACTCTATAAATCTAAAAAGATCACGCATATGTATGATTTTTACAAATGAGAAACTTTTAAATATAAATATAATATTATGTTTTATAGAAAATGAAAAAATGATCAATTCTTGCTGTTCGTTTCTAACAACGATTAATAAAGCTAATTTGCCTATAAAGATCTTAGAAATTTTTAAATTGAATTTTAATGAAATTGCACGGGAAATTAAAATATATATTCATCCTATACTCGTAAATATTACATGAATAAAGAATTTGATTTAAAATATTTTATTCCATAAAAGAATCACTTTTCCATGGTAAAAAGTAATCTGAGCCACTGCGCATCTTTGCTGAAAGTCAATGTGAAGATTACGACCACATCTGTATATAATGTAAACACATAATTACGCCGGTAAAAGTAGCTTACACTCCACTAAAAATGGAAATTGTATGATATCTTCACTTCATCTTCAAACACCTACATTTTATTCACAAACTATTTTACACTATATTTATATTGACAGACTAAAAATTTTTTTAAAGTAACTATTTTAATTGTGTAAAAATTTTTATATTTGTTTTTTTTGCATTAATACATATATATACATTAATTAATACATATATTAATATTATATTAATATATTTTTATTTAGTTTAAATAAAAATCTTATTTGAGACAAATAAAAATTTACTTACACTATAAAGAAAATTTTTATTTGAAATAAAAATAAATAATTATAAAACTCTGAGACAAACATATGTGTGCTGACACGGTGAAAAGGATATTTTTATTTAATTCAAGTAAATTATATTTGCTTTGAATAAAAAAAATAATTTCTTTCATGCAAGTTTTAAAAATGATAAGTTGAAGTTGAACATTAAATGCCAATGACTTGTTTTACATTACAAATATTTATTTATTGTTTTATGGGCCCACACAGCACAACATCTTACACTAGGCCTACAGCAGGCTTACATGTAAGGTTTGTAAGGTAACATCGTAAGCCCATAGTAGACTTACAGTAAACCTAAAATGTCCGCCTTACAGTAAGCTTACATGGTAGGGTCGAGGTAAGCTTACATGGTAGGGTCGAGGTAAGCTTACACGGTAAGGTCGAGGTAAGCTTATGAGTAAAGGCTGTGGTAAGGTTATTATTAAGTTGTAAGGTTGAGGTAAGGTTGTGGTAAGCTTACAAAGTAAGGCAAGTTATATTCAAATAATAATATTAATAATAAATAAATATTCAATAAAAAAATTTTTCTTTTGCCTTATTCTATTTTGGGAACCTATCATTTCGCAGAAAGTTTTGAAAACAAATTTGGGAGGAGTAGGATTCGAACCCGGGACCGAAGTATATACCTAACAACCTAACCAACTGAGCTAAACGGGGAACTGACAATGAGAAAAGTAATCTTACTTTTAAAGTGGAACCAAGAAGATAATCAACTCCTTAAAAGCAAGATTACTTTTCTCATTGTCAGTTCCCCGTTTAGCTCAGTTGGTTAGGTTGTTAGGTATATACTTCGGTCCCGGGTTCGAATCCTACTCCTCCCAAATTTGTTTTCAAAACTTTCTGCGAAATGATAGGTTCCCAAAATAGAATAAGGCAAAAGAAAAATTTTTTTATTGAATATTTATTTATTATTAATATTATTATTTGAATATAACTTGCCTTACCTTGTAAGCTTACCACAACCTTACCTCAACCTTACAACTTAATAATAACCTTACCACAGCCTTTACTCATAAGCTTACCTCGACCTTACCGTGTAAGCTTACCTCGACCCTACCATGTAAGCTTACCTCGACCCTACCATGTAAGCTTACCTCGACCCTACCATGTAAGCTTACCTCGACCTTACCGTGTAAGCTTACCTCGACCTTACCGTGTAAGCTTACCTCGACCCTACCATGTAAGCTTACTGTAAGGCGGACATTTTAGGTTTACTGTAAGTCTACTATGGGCTTACGATGTTACCTTACAAACCTTACATGTAAGCCTGCTGTAGGCCTGGTGTAAGATGTTGTGCTGTGTGGGGGGTATTTGTATATATACAGAAAGCAATATTTTACAATAAAATGTGAAATTAGATTAATTTTTTTTATTTAAACGATCAGAACATCAGGCACGTGTCAAATCAATCAAAGAATGACATTGAAATTCGAAAATTTATCAAAAATGAAAAACCTACGTAAGACTTAAAAATTGTTAAATAAAAAATTATTAAATTTTTAAACATAGTTATACGTATAACTTTCAAAGCTATCGACAAAAATATACTTTCTAAACGAAAAAGCCAACTGTAATCTCTTATTTTTAGCATAAAAAATGTTATTACTTTAGTTCAAGTTCGTTGATAATTTTTTTAGTTTTGCGAAAGTTAAAAAATTGAAAAGATTCTAAACAATTTTTACATAATTAATTTATAAATTTTTTTCAAGGCTTTTTGTGAACTTTATAATGCCAAAAAAGTTTTTCCCAAATAAAAATTTTTACTTGCTCCCATTTATTTTTATAAAATTAATCCTTTTTTTCAATTTTGACTTTTGAATTCCTAACATATTGAAAAATAATTTTAAATTATGGCCTAAATTGAATTATTTTTTCTTTAAATACCAATAACAAGATTATTTATAATTACAGTAGTAATACAAATACAAAAAAAAATAATATAAAATACGAAACAATCATTTGCAAGAAAGCAATATTTTACAATAAAATGTGAAATTAGATTAATTTTTTTTATTTAAACGATCAGAACATCAGGCACGTGTCAAATCAATCAAAGAATGACATTGAAATTCGAAAATTTATCAAAAATGAAAAACCTACGTAAGACTTAAAAATTGTTAAATAAAAAATTATTAAATTTTTAAACATAGTTATACGTATAACTTTCAAAGCTATCGACAAAAATATACTTTCTAAACGAAAAAGCCAACTGTAATCTCTTATTTTTAGCATAAAAAATGTTATTACTTTAGTTCAAGTTCGTTGATAATTTTATCATAGTTTTGCGAAAGTTAAAAAATTGAAAAGATTCTAAACAATTTTTACATAATTAATTTATAAATTTTTTTCAAGGCTTTTTGTGAACTTTATAATGCCAAAAAAGTTTTTCCCAAATAAAAATTTTTACTTGCTCCCATTTATTTTTATAAAATTAATCCTTTTTTTCAATTTTGACTTTTGAATTCCTAACATATTGAAAAATAATTTTAAATTATGGCCTAAATTGAATTATTTTTTCTTTAAATACCAATAACAAGATTATTTATAATTACAGTAGTAATACAAATACAAAAAAAAATAATATAAAATACGAAACAATCATTTGCAAGAAAGCAATTTGAATTAATTACAGAGAAAGAAAAAAAGCGTAAATAAAAATATTTGTATTGTTTGTTTTTAATAATTTTTTAAAAACATCTTAAAAGAGATAACCATTGTGTTTTATAATAAGCTGCCTACTTTTTGCTGTGAAAAAGCCACATATTTATTATGAACGATAAAGAAATAACACTATGATTTCAATTCATTATTATCATCATCCTCATCGTCTGATTCTAGATTATAGTTTTCATTATGCTTGAATTATAAATGTTCAGGATATAACATTTTTACTAGTCTTACCATTCTTTCCTCTTTTGGGTTGTCGTCATACTCTATTAGTTTTATAACATCTTCACCTTTAATTTTTGTCGCCTCCATCCTGTCTTTCTTCAATTCTATCACTTCAGAGAATAAGTATTGCATTTGATAATCTTTTTTCAATATATGACTTAAATCTACTAATCCAGCCTGGTTTTTAATTATAACTTTGTGAATTAATAATTTTCCATCAAAAGAATTATTACAATTTAGACAATTTTCTAATGCTTGTTCTTCAGTGTAATAAAATAAATAGTTTATTTCATAATATAACTTTTCATCTTTTTCGACATTTAATAATCTTTTAAACTCCTCCATAGGCGTATACTCAACACGATAAAGCGTAATTGGATTATTGATAAATTCCATATTACAATATCTTAGAGCCACTCTATAAAGTGCAATATCACTAAACAAACCCAACCTTGAATCAGCATTTTCATAAATATCTAAATAGATAATATAGTAATCCAGAAAAGTGATTAACTCCTTAATTTCAGGTGTATTCCAATATTTTTTAAACACATGTTCTACTTTCTTTATATCAACATTATTATAATAATTTTTAATAATTTCCAATGCATTATTCAAATAATTAATCCTATTTAATGTATTTTGAAATAGCACATCATCAACGAGAATACTATTTTTTATTTTATACTTTGCATATATTGGCGGAATATAATTATCACCTGATTGAATTTCCTTTGACAACTTATCATAAGTAGGAACTGAACTGGTATCATCATCGATGTTTAAAATATATTTTTTAAAAAACTTTTCCATCTCATCTAATCTGTGTAAAGGCGTATTTAAAGATATAAGGTATGCAGCATTCTCAATACTTTCCATTCTTTTAAGTTGATTTTCCTCTTTATTGGTCAATGTGAAATATTTAAGTTTTCTAATCTTTTTCCATTCGTCTATTGTAGTAGGCTTTTCCTCCAGTTCCATTTCTAGAATTCCATTTAATTTTTTGGTCACTATTACAAGGAACACAACTTCTGGAAATACAATGTATTGGTTTTTAAAACTATCATGAAATGCTGCTAAATCGACAAGTCCATGTTGAGAATTAAATTTGATGTGATAACGAATTTCTGTATTCTTTAAATAAATTTTTGGCTTTTGCTTGGAATTATTTTCATAATTGGGCTTAATATCTGTCAATTGAGTAATATCATTAAAATAAAACTCTTTTCCTTCCAAATTCTTTAAAACATCAACAAAATGTAGTCTTGATATTGTTTCACTAAAATACATGATTTGTTTCTTATTCTCATTTTCCTGTGTTTCTAATTTTCTGACTTCATAATTATTAATTGTCTCGACACTTTTTCGAACTCTTTGCAAAATATCTTTATCTTTTCTTATACCAGACATTCCTTTTTGACAAAATTGTTGTAGTGACATAACGCAGCTATTGTATAAATCGTCATCCAAAGAATAGGGAATGTTTCTTGCCATTTGTGAATTTCCAGTAATATCAGCATTTATCAAATCTCTTTGTGAAATCTCGATGTTATTAAAGGCGTTGGCTAAAGGTAAATTTTTTCCTTGAAATATTGGTGAAATATATTCCTTAAAAATTCTTTTAGTTACTAAAAAATTCAAATTTTCCTTGAGGTGAAAAAAACAGTTGTCTTCATTGTTGATTTTTGTCGGAAAACGTTGAGAATTTTGTTGAAGAATCTTGAAAATTTTATTATTTTCCCGGTTAAATATTTTAATATTCAATTGGAAAATTTGTCTTTCAAAGGAATACATAGATGACATAATGATGTATTGATATTTTTCATCCACGTATTTCATATCAGGTATATCATCTGTGTCAACCTGAGAAGGTTGACTTTCTTTCAGCATTTTTTGCAAAAATTGAAGCTTCATCTCGAATTCATTGTTGAAATTATTAATATTTTCAAAAAAAGTAATCAGTGGATGGTGATTTAAATGTTTTTCTCCCAGTGTAATTAGGTCATGCTTATAAAAGGTGATACCAAAAAAAATACAGACAGGAAGAAGCTGAAAATTTGATGAATGTTCAGCAATTATTGTTGTGCTATTCATTGTATATTGATACAATTTATATTTCCTTTAATATATTTTCCTTTTTTTAGTTATACACTGTATAACATTGATCTTTTATTAACCTTGGATTTTGTGTTAATAGAACTGAAATAGTCATATATATTCTATGTTTAATTTTAATTTAATGAAACAAGAATTATTTTTAAGTTATTAGCAAATACATCTAGAATTATTTTACGAATTCTTTTAGAAGAAGTTATTCTTATAAATATTCGTCATATATTACAAAATATTTATTAAAGATTTTGATAAACTTTATTTAAGAAAGAAAGATTAAATTTTACCTTCTATTGTTTAATCCTTTGCGAAGAACAAATAACTATACCCTTTTAGTAGAGTCACTACTTTTAAACTGAAAATATTAATGTGCTTTTCATGTTTGACTATATCATAAAAATTTTATTTTTTTTGTTGGCAGTTGATATATGTTTAAATCATTAAAAACAAGTTAAAAAGGTTCTTAAAAATAATTTTCTCACGACTATTGCACGATTATTGCATTGCCTGCGCTCGACCAAAAGATAGCATACACAGAAAGTTTAGTAGCAATATTTGATAAATCTGATAGAAAATTTTAGTATTCTCTTTTTCAAACGCGGAACATTTGGGTTTGATAACGAAAATCGGTATATTTTTACCAATAGTCTTTTTAGTAAATATATTCCAGAAATTGAAATTATTATTTCGTAAATTGATAAATTTATACGAAAAACCAGAAATAAGTTAAACCGACGCGCACTTCGTTATTTACTAAAGTTATATGAAAATTTGGAAAGATTATTTCGAAATTTGTTAAAACTATACTAAAAATTCGAAGTGGTTCAGTCGTGACAGATGACGACAGAAACACCAACAGATTCTACGCCAAAGTTTTATCTCTTTCTCATCTCGAGGATAGACGAGGATATGAACTTTTAAATGCACACACACACACATATACCGCAATGTTTTACATCGATTGGCTTATTTTTATTCCTAACCTATACTAACGATAATACGTATAACATTCGCAGAATAACGCTTCATATACAAATTTACGTTCATGTGAAAAACTGATGTGACCATTCTTATATACTAACCAGACATATTTTTCACCGCTTATGAGAAAGGTGAAATTATATCAAAACATGTTTAAAAATATAAATAAAAATCATTATTTATTGGGAAATAATTAAATATTTTATTATTTTTTGGAGAACAATTTTTTTTACTGATTTATTGTAAAATCTTCGAAATTAATTATATAAAAGAAATTCAGGCCTGTATCAAGATAATGGTAAAAAGGGGCTTGTCTAAAGAGCTTCGTCAGTCTTCGTTACCACTCGGTGAGGATCGGGCAATTCCGAACGTTCAACTTCGGCAAATTTCGTCGAATCTCGTTAACTTTGATATTTCTTTTTCAATTTTCATATCAAATATATCAAAATCTCAAATAATTATATCATTTTATACAATTCTAATTACGTAATTTGAAATATTTGGTTAGAAAAATTGATAAAGAGCTTATTAAAATTTGACATTTTTGTGTTTCAATAAAAAGATTTCAGATTTCGTAAATATTATATCAAATTTTCTTTCCAACTATATTAAATATTCTTCTTTTAATCTCAATCATTCTTAAAAATAGTATCGAAAATCGTTATCATGCCAAAATGTTCCGCAATTGTAACCAAATATATACTGAAAAGTAACACCAGCATAATATCAAATATTGCTACAAACTTTCTTTCCGTGTAGCGGGGGAAATCTCACCCGCTCGTGAAAACCTTTAATCAATATTAAAAATAACTTGGTAAATTTCCACAGCATTTTTCATTCCCCCACTCCTTTTTTGGGACTTCAAGCATCCTGAGACAGGACAAGACCCTTTTTCCCATTTTTACCCGAGTCAGTACGCTTCTGCATCGCAAATTCAAAAGAAGCACGCGCGTTTTCCTTAAAGAACCTCGCCTTTAAGACATAGAATATCTTTCGAACTCCTGCCTTCAATTTAAGAACAGTCTCTATTAACACCATATCAAATTCACTGGAGATCCTTTTACATATTGCGGTACTCTGGACAAGTGCAATAACTCATTCGTAAGACCGAATCATTCTCACCCTTGCAAGTCCCTCTGAGTTTTTCCGCTAACTTGCAAGGCTTTCTTACGAATATTCCAGAGTACTCTCTCTCTTTTACAAAGGATCTCATTTTCAATGTTATTCACGAATCTCATAATTTAATCTTTCACAGTGTATATCGTTTTATTTAAGAGTTATGTATAATAAACTTAATTTAATGTGAATTGTTGTGTGTTTCTTTTTTCTTAACAATTATTGAACGATTTACCCTTCTCTCTCCCCTCTTACAAAAATTGTGTAAATTACAGTCAACTGTACAAACAATATATGATAATTTTCTTTTACTGTTACAGATAAACCAATATTATTTCATTTCATTATTTTATAAACAGCAGTATAGAATTTATTTTTGTTTTATTGTATCTCTCGCATGAATTTTCAAAAATTTGTATTTTGCAAAAAAAATACAAATTCTAAATGGTTAAAAATTAAGATTTACTTTTTTTACCACCTTGTATGTTTTTAGGATCCAAATGATGCAATAAAAAAATATAACATAAAATATAAATATATAAAAATAAAAGGGGATAAAATATAAGTGCTGCCTCCCCTTAATCTTAAAAATTAAATTCAACATGTGTGAGTTACAGTATTTAGTGTAAAAAAAGGAATAATTAATTCTTTAATAAAGTTAAAAAAATTTTCAAAAATTGATTCTACCTGTATAATTTACAACTCTTTGACATATAAATATAGTATTTTTAAACATTCCAAACAGCACGTAAGCTATTTGAAATTTCTCTAAAATAACAGACTTAAATAAGATTTAAAAAGTTTTTAATACAAATTCTTTTATTTTAAAGCAGTTATGTATAACTCAGAATAAGCTATCGGCAAAAATGTTTATTTTTAAATAAAAAAGCAAGCTGCTATCTTTCATTTTTAGTATAAAAATTTTTATTACTATTTTTCAGGTTTGTTGATAATTTTGTCATAGTTCTGCAAAATTTTAAAAATATTAAAAGATTTCAAATAATTTTTCAAGAACTAATATTTGGTAGGCTTATTTATCATATTAATATCTCAAAATGGACACAAGGATTTTAAAAAATACCCCCAAAAAAATTTTATCGTTTTTTTCGAAAATTTATTTTTAATCAAAAAAAAATTTTAATAGCAATATTTAAGATGATATATAATAAAATCTTATTCCTCACGTCAAGACGAATCGATTAATATATAAAGTATAGATTTGATTTAAATTTAAAGAATTAATGAATGTTAAAAAATCAAACTTTCTTATTTTAGCTAAAAAAAATTGTGTTTATTTAATTTGAAGTTTATAAATAAAATAGTTGTATTCCTTGCATTGAAACGAATCGATTGGTATATATAAAGTATATGTTTTACTCAAAATTAAATTAAATTAAATTAAAATTTAAGGTTATGTAGGAACCTCCCACGTGACCTAGTATGGGAAAATGTGTTTTGGTAGTATACGTTTCACTCTAAAATGAGAAAAGTTTTTTGTCTAAAATTTTGAGGGATGATACACGGAGAGAAAAATTAACAGTGATGGCGACTGTCGCGCCATTTCTGGTGACTATACCGTTTAGTAGATTTTCGACGAACTAATTTAACGGTGGGATTTACTAAACAGCCGTTTTGTAGCTGTGACATATTAATTGTAGAGTAGCACCAACTGTTAAAACTGTCAAAAAGTTAAAATGGCCGCCATTGTTGTGAATATGCTAAACATAACCTACTCTACGTGATTTAAATTTACTGTTTCTTGTAAAAATAATTAATAAAGTATAGGTAAAGTTTACATAAACTATCAATAATTTCTAAAAATTTAATTTAGTTTGTAAAATTGGAATTATATTGTGGAAATAAGTAAATTTGAACAATCTCAGTATATATCGTATTTATTTATTAATTACATTTATTTCTAATTATAAATCAAAATTTAAAGATTTTTAAAAATAATTAATAAAATCTTGTATTACTGAAAAAATTATATTCCAAATTTAAAAATATCTTCTTGGCGCCTATTTAAAAATATTTCCCATGCATTTTATTATTACAGTTAGAATATAATATTTTTAAAATAAAAAGCAAGTCTTAAATTAAGAAATATTCTACAGACAAAAGAAAAATTCTTAATTTAAGAAATATTTCTCATTTTAAGAATATTATATATTCCAACTTCAAGAATAAAATGCATGGGAAGGTTAATTTAATTTTATTAAAATAGGCGCCAAGAAGATAATCTTAAAATTAGAATATAATTTTTTCAGTGTGACTATCTCTGCCGTCCAACTCCCTGAATTTATTTTATTTATTTATTTATTAGGATTTACTTAATCCAACAATCCATAAACCCGAGGGGAAATTTACTAATTAAAAACGTGTACACTTGACTACCGGTATTACACTTCATATTCCCTTATTATTAAGTATTATACGTTATTACAGAGATATTACAGAGTTTTTTGCGTTATTACAGCACCGTAATAACGCATTATTACATGGTATTACACGTTATTACACAAGTATTACAAGAAGAGTGTACACTTGACTACCTGAGTAAATTCCCCCTCGCATAAACCAATAACAGGATTATTTATAATTACAGTAGCAATACAAGTATAAAGAAAAAAAAGAATATAACATAAAATAAGAAAGCAATCATTTGCGAAAAAGGAATTTGAATTAGTTAAAATTTTTACTAATTTTCACATTGTTCATAAAGTAGATATGCTAATCTAACCATTCTTTCCTCTTTTGAGGTGTCATCGTCATACTCTATCAATTTTATAACATCTTGACCTTTAATTTTTGTCTCCTTCATCCTGAATTTTTTCAATTGTATAACTTCAGAAAGTAAGTATTCTCTTTGAAAAAGCTCATTCAATGTATGACTTAAATCCAATAATCCAGCCTGGTTTTTAATTCTCACTTCGTGAATTAATAATTTTCCATCAGACGAATAACGACTATCTATATTTTCAAATGCTTCTTCTTCAGTGTAATAAAATGTATAGTTTTCAATATAATCCAGTCGTGTATCATTTTCGGTATGTACTAATTTTTTTAAATCCTTAATAGGTATATTCTCAGCACGATAAAAGGTAATTGGATTATTTATAAATTCCTCATCACATTGCCGTAGAGCCAGTCTATAAACTGCAAGAGAAAATAATCTACGATTATCTAAATTTAAATTTCCATCTCCATACATATCTGAATAGATAATACAGTAATCCAAAAAGTTGATTTTGTGATGAATTTTAGGTTTATTCCAATATTCTTTGAACACATGTTC